TGTCGTCTCTGCTGACTTACTTGGCCTTTGTTGTCCCGGGCTGCTCGCTCGTACCCGCAGCAGGGCTTGGGCGCTCTCAGGAGTCTTCTTTTGTGTCGGCCCTAAAACCTTAAACCTGTTGTTGCTTGTTTGTCATTGTAGGTTCGTTGTTGAAAGATTTATTCGTTTTTTGTTGCTCTTGGAAATGCAAATAGTACTCTGGTATCACAGCGCACACTTCTCAGGGTCGCGCTGTCTCCTGGCACGGCCGCTCCAGACCCGTCGCCATCTTAAAAGCCTAAATGTTCTAATTGTGATGCTTTTTAAAAATATCTTCCAGGAATTTATATATGTTCACTCCCATCCTTTTTTTCCCCTTTTTTAAAGACAAATATTAATAAAGTTTAATTCTTTGAAGATGATATTTTAAGAATACATCATTCTATAGTTTTTTAAAAAAAATAAATGTTATTGCATCTTTTACATTTTTTTTTTCATAGATATATAAACATGCTTAATCAGATTAATTACATTTTAAGTAATACCTTATGTTTAAATAGGTTTTGCTGATTTGGGAAAATAAAGACTATGGATCAGCTCGGAGTATTGTTCGTATTATTGGGAAAATGCTTCCTTTAGAACCTTGTAGAAGACCTAATTTTGAAGTAAGTCAGTTGACATGCATTGCTTAAGCGCTGTGTATAAAATAATCATAAGTACTGCCAGGGATATAGGGTAGAACAAAAGAAGAAACGTTTCCTGCAAGCCAAAAACAAAGGAAAAAATGTATCCTGCAAATGCAAAATCATGCATTGTTTAAGCACTGTATATAAAATAATCATCAGTACTCTTAGGGGCATAGAGTAAAACAGAGGAAGAAATGTTTCCTGCAAGCCAAGAAAAAGATTTTGGAAACAAATCATTTTACATATGTTTTTGTGGTTTCTGTTTCTTTAAATAATTATACTCAAAGATGGGCAGGTGTGAGGTACACCTGAGGAGCATATTTTATATTTTACATTTTATAATAGATGAGATTAACTAGGGGAGAGAATATTGCTACATGCTTAGACTTGAGAATAACATTTCTCCCAAGTATTTTTTTTTGCTAACAGGTGCATGTTTTTCTACTGAATATCTTTTTTCCTTTTCTCTCTTTTGGATTGTTAACTTATTTAATGTTCTGGGGCATGTGTCTTCCCCTGACTCCCTGCAGAGCTCTGACTTTTTTTTTTTCTTTTTCCTTTAGCTGATCCCGCTTTTGAACTCTATAGACTCTGATAATTGTGGATCTATGGTTCCATCTTTTGCTGATATTTTATGTGTGGCAAATAATGAAGAAACCAGTTATCTCAGATTTCGGTAATTTTATATGCTTATCTTGGGAAGTGGCTATAGGCTGTCATCTGAATTCTTGCATGTGTTGAAGTTTGTTCATATTGATTGAGCTTTTTTGTTTTGTCTTTGTACTGTGCTGTGTCCTACTAATAATGTGCATTATAATAAGGATGACTGTTTCTTATTTTTTTTAGCTAGTTTCTCATATTTTTAGCCAGTTTTTCTTAATGTACATTTAAACCAAACACTAGGCTTAGGAAGGAATGATTACTAAAAGGATATCAAAATCATTATGTTCATTCTTTTTTCTATACTAGATACTAGATTAATTTTATTTTATATATTTATCCAAAACTTATATAGTGTTTACTGTGTACCAGGCAATAATATTAAGCATATTTCAAAATTTGGATATGTTACTCTTAGAGAATACTAACTTATGTGTTAATATATTCAGATGTAGTCTATAAGCACAATAAGTTTCAATTATTCAAATATTCTGGCTAAATTTATTATGTATCAAACTGGTATCAATTTTTGAAAAGTTAGAAGACCATAAGCTCACCTCTAACATAATCCTGAATGTAAGGGCCCTTCAGTACCTTATGTAGAATTTCTGAATAAATTAACTTATACTATGTTTAAAGTTAATAGATAGAGCAATTACAGGATAATTATTTGTTTTACAATCTGAAAGCAAGGTTTGTTCCTTCATTTCCTGGCCGCTTATTGGCCATCTATTAGAGGCTGCATTCTGATTTATGTGTTGAGAATACAGAGCTAAGTAAGATGTTGTGCTTGTGCTCAGTGAATCTAGAGCCAATCGTAAGGGAAAGATAGAGGCTCTGATTTTGTTGTCTTTTGCTTTTCATGAAAAAGTTTTTTCCTGTTTTGATTGAAAATTTCCCTCCCTGCCTTCTTCCCTTTGTTTCTTCCTTCCACTCACAGAAATAGTATTTGGAAAACTGAAGAGGAGAAAATTGAATTTTCCCGTCCTTTGCAACTAGTTTGGGATCCATTGTCACCTGCTGTAAGACATAACAAACCAGTAAAAAATGATCTGCCTGTTAGTGAAGCTGCAGTTAAAAAAATAGCTGCCCTTGAAGATGAGCTAACTTTTCTTCGCTCTCAAATTGCCGCAATTTTGGAAATGCAGGAACTGAAAAACAGTACAGATTCCGGTAACATAGGATTTTTGTTTTTGTTAGATGTTGCTCATCTAGTATTTAAGTACAATTTCAAATACGAACTGTGAACAACATTAAATGTATCTTAAAAGGATGTTAGGTATATAAAATGTTGATGTTGATATTTGTTCAGAATAGATCGAGACAATTGTAGTGAGTAGGATGGCTTTGGTTTAAAGAAGAGCTAGCTATACTAATGAAGATTGTATTTTTGTATTAAAACTCTTGTTTTCTAAGTAAGCTTTTCTAACTCCTCAGAAAAGCATTGGAGATTAAAGAAAAATATCTTGGTTTGAAAGAGGAGTATAGGTTTGAGGCCTTATATATTTGTAGGTTTTAGTTATTGCTGCTATACTTCCACAAAGTTCAGGTGAATAGTGTTTCAAGATGATTCTTTTCTAAATTTTTAGAGATGTAACTTGCTTTAAACTTACACACACACACAAACACACACACACACTTATATATGTACATATGTGGGTGTGCATAAAATTTAAAGCAACATAGGAACTGAGGTGTTTTCTTAATAGATTTGGTAGTAAAGATCTGTGTGTAAATATGATTGCTAAAAAAATTATATAATTTATATGTATATACATATATAATTTATATAATATATAATATAGTATATATTTACAACATGTAATTTATATATAAATTAATTATATAATACATAATAATTTCTATTGATATATAATAAGAAATAAAATAGTTTATACATACACATGGATTTTTTTTTTTTTTTTGGGGGGGAATTGTGTTGCCCATAGTCCTTTAGGAGCAAATCTGTTGTGAAAAAGTTAAATACTTGGTACCTATCTTAGGCTCTTGCCTAGAAAATAATATGCTGTTTTTCCAGTGTCATTATGGTCTGGATGTATCAGTTTGAGTGTTACCAACTACAAGTTGTTGCTCATGTTTTAGCTTTTTTTTAAATGGAAGATGGCATTCAGATTGTACGTGAATTATTCAAAAAACACTTTAATTTCTCTTTAAAATGCACCCTCCCCCCTACCCCCACTTTAGGGGCTTACACTGAGGATTCCTAATTGGATTAAAAATGAATTTACAATCTGGCTTGACTCTAATAGAAGTTACTAAGCAGATGGCGTTGATTCTTCTTCCTGGCTACCAGATCACTATTTTAGTAGCATTACAGAAATTGTTCTTGTTTTGGTTTCTAATTAGTATTATATATTATATTAGAATTTTGCATGATTTTTCAACAAACTCCTTTGTTTTTAGGCTCCTTTGACTTGAATGAATTGCCCAGTGGTTTGGGGCAAATACAGTCACCAGGGACTGCTCAGCTGAGTGTGGAACCAAATCAGTTTCCAAGTTCAGTGCTTTCTTCTCCTCTTCCTGCACCACCACTTCTGCCTCAGTTTTCTTCTCTTCAGCCTCCGTGTTTTCCTCCCATACAACCAGGGTCTAATAATATTTGTGACTCGGATAATCCAGCAACTGAAATGAAAAAACAGCACCCAGGTGCTAGTAAGACCAATTGTAGTCATTCAAAAAGCCAGAGAAATACAGATGTTCCAAACATGTTGGATGTTCTAAAGGATATGAATAAAGTTAAGCTTCGTGCTATTGAACGGTATGTTGTTGTAATTTGAGAAATGAACTCAAATTTTATCAGTGATGTTTTTAAAAATAATTGTGTTTAGGGCCGGCCCGGTGGTGCACTGGATAGTGCGCCGCTTGGGAAGCGCGGCGGCGCTCCCGCCCGAGGGTTCGGATCCCACATAATAATATTTGTGACTCGGATAATCCAGCAACTGAAATGAAAAAACAGCACCCAGGTGCTAGTAAGACCAATTGTAGTCATTCAAAAAGCCAGAGAAATACAGATGTTCCAAACATGTTGGATGTTCTAAAGGATATGAATAAAGTTAAGCTTCGTGCTATTGAACGGTATGTTGTTGTAATTTGAGAAATGAACTCAAATTTTATCAGTGATGTTTTTAAAAATAATTGTGTTTAGGGCCGGCCCGGTGGTGCACTGGATAGTGCGCCGCTTGGGAAGCGCGGCGGCGCTCCCACCCGAGGGTTCGGATCCCACATACAGACCGGTTCCCGCTCACTGGCTGAGCGAGGCGCGGGAGCAACACCGAGGGTTGCGATCCCGTTGCCGGTCCCCGGTCCGGTACGGGGGCAACACTGAGGGTTGCGATCCGTTGCCGGACACGGAAAAAGACAAAAGACAAAAAAAAAAAAAAAAAATTGTGTTTATGAAAGGTAACATATATAAGACTTCTTTCATTACTCTTCACCCCCAAATATACCTTCCAGAGATAATCACTTTCAATTCTTTTTGTCTATTCTAGTGTCTTATCTTCATATTTTTTGAAACAACATACTTTCGCTATTTCTTGATGTTTTATATTTACTACCATTGTAGAAGATTAAGAATATGTTCCCTTAGATATTCTATCCAACACACACACAAACACAAGCTTTTATTTTTGGTAACAGTATTATTAAGGAAAATTCACTTATTTAAAGTGTACAATTCAATGATTTTTAGTATGTTCAGAGTTGTGTATCTACCACCATAGTAAATTTAGAACATTTTCATTACTCCAAAAAGAAACCCAAGTTCAATGCTTTCCTTCTGGATATACATCTTTTTCATTTCTTTACTCTCATTTTAGTAGGATTTCACAAGGGATCTGACATGTTTACCTGGAAATCCTTCAGTGAGGTTTTTGGTGAGAAAATAGGTGTATTTTCTATATAGTAGTCTTAGGACAGGTAAGTCATTTCAATATTACTGAGGCTGTGAGTTTGGTCCTTATATGAGGCAGCTTGTAGAGAAAAATCTCACAGCTACAGGTGCACGCTCGGTCCCAACTAGATCTCTTACTGGTATCACTGGGCCCAGTCAGTATAAAATGAAGACTCTGCGACTGCTACCATTACTGGAAAAACAACTGAAAGGCCAATAGACTGAATCCCTCTGTTTTCTCAGTAGTTTCTTCTACAACTAACCTTGTTTCATACATTCTGAAAAATCAGATGAAACTTCCCACGTCTTTACACCTTCAAATTTGCTACCCATATTTTCTGTCTTCCATCTTGTTATTATGGACCGAGTGTCCCTGTTCACATTCAGTTCTTCCCTTGGTCACTGGTTCCTCTTCTAATTTTCTTAAAATTTTCACTTAAATTATCCCTTCTCTCTTCTGCATCATCGAATCTCCCTCCTTTATTCTTCTCATACCTGAGTATTTCCCACCTTCATAATGGGTATGCCCTCAGCTGTTGCTGTTTCTCTGTTCCCCTTTTTGATATAAATCCATGAAGTCATTTGTAGTTTGTTTCCTTTTGTCACTGCCTTCTTCTACCCACTGTGATATGATGTCCGTCCCTGTCACTCCATTGAAAACTACTGTTGTCAGGGCCGGCCCGGTGGCGCACTGGAGAGTGCGCCGCACTGGAGAGTGTGCCGCTTGGGAGAGCGGCGGCGCTCCCGCTGAGGGTTCGGATCCCATGTGGAGACCGGTTCCCGCTCACTGGCTGAGCGCGGTGTGGGCGCAACACTGAGGGTTGCGATCCCGTTGCCGGTCCCCGGTACGGGCGCGACACCGAGGGTTGCGATCCCGTTACTGGTCAGTAAAAAAGACAAAAAAAAAAAAGAAAACTGCTGTTGTCAAGGGCACCAGTGACCCCTGTAGCTGCTTCTAATGGTCAACTCCCATTACTCATCTTACTCGATCTCTTGGCAGCATTTGATATAGTCCGTGGTTCCCTCCTTCGTGGAGCACTTTCTTCACGTGTTTTCTGGGAAAGCATACTCCTGGTTTTCCACTCACCTCATCTGTTACTCCTTATTCCTTTGCTAACTCTTCCTTCTGGGTCTGGTTTCAGACCTCAGCCCCTTTCTCCTCCATCCACAGGATTTCCTTCGGTAAGCCCATCTAGTCCTATGGCTTTAAATACCAGCTGTATGCTTATGCTTCCCACGTTTATTTTTCTAGCCCTGCCCTCTCCTCTGAGCCACAGATGCATATATCCAAATGCCTGCTTGACACCTTCATTTGCCTGTCTCACAGCTGTCTCAAGCTTCACATGCCCCAAACAACTCCTCCTCCCTGCCTGTACTCTTCTCACACCTCGAACACCTGTTCTTCCCCCAGTCTTTCGCATCTCAGTAAATGGGAACACTATCAGCCAGTTGCTCAGTCCAAATGTCTAGGAGCCATCCTGGTTTTTTCTCTTCCTCTCTATCCTACATCCTTTCTGTCAGCGTAAAGCTCGAGTCTGTGTGCCCTCATGATCTCCACTGCCACCTGCAGGCTAAGCCGCCACGTTATCTGGTTTATTTAGACTTCTGCAATAGCCTCCTCACTGGTCTCTCTGGTCATACTTGCCCCCTTATTTATTTTCCATACTGTTACCAGAGTGGTTCTTTAAAAATTGAAGTCAGATCATGCCATTCCTGTTTAAAACTCTTTTGTGCTTTTCAGTTGTGCTTTGAGTACAATCCAGACTCCTTGCTGCGGCTGTAAGTCCCCCCGGGATCCAGCCTTGGCTGCTTCTCTGACCTCATTTCTTACTCCCCGTGTTGCTCACTGCACTCCAGCTGTACTTGGTTTTCTTTTTCCTTTTCTCACACAAGCCAAGCTTCTTCCTGATGCATCCACCAGATATTTACACCTCCTTGAAGAAGGCATTCCCTAAAGGGTTTCACCTCTTAAAGAGGCGTTTCCTGATCATATCTAAAGTGTTCCCATCCCTAGTCACTATTACATTTCCCTATTTTATTATATTCACAGCACTAATCACTGTCCAAAATAACCTTGCTTACTTATGCATTGATCTCCTGCTACCAGAATGTGAGCAGGATACTGCTGTACCCACAAAGTGTAAAACAGAGTCTGATATAACAGTAGGCATTCAATAAAGATTAAATGAATGGATGATCAAATGAATGAACAGTTAGCCTAATAGGTTTCTTTTCATGAACTCTAGTCCTTTTTAAAAAGTTTTTAAATATTTCTTTAAATTTTCCTACCCACTGGAAAATTAGAAAACTAAAAGGTCTTCGTTCAGCACAGTGATATTTGACAAATCCCAGGTCATAAATAACAAGGCTGTGGTAGATCCTCAATCCACAAGGTTTCCTGGATTTTCTAATTCTTAATTCCTTACACCCTCCAGGTTCTTTATTCCATGGCAAAATATCTCTTGAAGACTAGTTGTCTTTAATTTCTTGAAGAATAATTAGATTGCAATATATTATGCTTGTATTCCTGCTATATTTGTCAACGAGGAGCTAAAATTGCATCTAAGTCTTAATTCTTTTTTTTTTAAGTAGGTCACCTGGTGGTAGACCCATTCATAAGAGGAAAAAACAAAATTCACATTGGGATCCAGTGTCTTTAATATCCCATGCACTTAAGCAGAAATTTGCATTCCAAGATGATTCCTTTGAGAAAGAAAATAGGTCTTGGGAGTCTTCTCCATTTTCTAGTCCAGAAACTTCAAGGGTAAGCTATAATGATGTGAAGTTAAGTTTTAGTTTGTCTCGGGTGTACTGCTCATGGTATAACTTTGCATTCAAGTTCTCTTGAAGTAACTATGCGGAATGGACTATACAATTGTTTGCTGATGCTGCTAGTGTTTCTGTTGTTTTTGTTAATTTTACATGTTCATTTTCACTTTTAGCTTATTATGAGGTCTTTTTAAATAAAACATTGATTTGAAAAATACTCATTCATAAGTCTATAATGGTTTATCTCAGACAGATGCTAATTTGATGTTGCTGTCTGCAGTATGAGCTGGGTATCTAAAACCAGGGAAGAATGATGCAATAGATTCACTAACCATATTAAATGTGAATACTCCAATATTTTTCTCAGTCCATTATAAAGACTTCTGCTTTTTTACTTGAAGTCTCTTTTCTTAAATTTAAAAATAATTCTAATTTGGGGATGGTTTCGCATCTCATGATCTAGTTGAGGTAGTACATAAGAGTAAGCCTTGGGAATGGGAGGAGTGGGGAGGAAGGACAGTGTCTAAAGTCAGGTGGATAGTACTGAGGGGTGACAGCGGAGGAGGAGACTGGAAAACAAATGCACAAAGCCTCTCAACAAGCTTAGCAGAGCAATGGAAACCGTCCTGTTCACATTCCAGTGTGTGCAGTCTCTGAGGTCACCAGTGTGTGTGTGTGTGTGTGTGTGTGTTTGCGCACACATGTGTACTCTATATGATGTTTAGCATGTTGACTCAGAAAATTATATTCTTTTAACTACTCAAGGCAAATAAGTATGTAGTAGTTTACTTTAGAAGTATTACCATAAGAAATGCAAATGTGTCTAAAATAAATGTCTAATTCTAACATTTGTATGGCAATTTATAACTTGCTGAGTACTTTTCTCACTCATCTCATTTGGTCTTCACAGCAATATCCAAAAAAAAAGGTGAATGTTTCTTGTTTTACACATGAGGAAAATGAACCTCATAGTGCCCAGAATCCCACATCTAAGGGGTAGAACAGAGACTAGAATTTGGTTAATTCTAGGATTTTTGAAAATGCTCAGTTATCTAAAAAGTTGACTTGGGTGCAACACAGTATTTCCCAGTAATAGTGGATAAATGAGGTGATACTAGATTGTCGTATACTGCTTGCATTTTGTTCAATGTCTCTTAGCACTTTCTGTCCAACGAGCTGTGAACTTTTTAGAGAAGGAATCATCTCTTTCTATATATTTTGTAACACCTAGTTTCAGGCTGGACAATAGGGATCAAGTCACAGTCAGCTGGGAGCTGTGTGTGCTGCTGAGAGTGTCTTGCCCACTTCTGCGTCCTCAGCTCAGTGCCTGACATGTAACCTACTCTCAAATAACTACTGTTGAATGAATTAAACCTCCAAGGGTCAGCCAGTGCTTATCTTGCCATTCCTTTTTTACATTAGAATAATTTCTGTGTTAAACATCTGCTTTATTTCAGTTTGGACATCACATTTCGCAGTCAGAAGGACAGTGAACTAAGGGAAGAAGTGAGAAACACAAATACTATTGACCGAGGTGTCAGCAACAAAAGCTGTGTGTACACTTAGAAGGAAAGATTGCAAACATACGCCAGTATGTCCTTCTCTACATTTCAAAGGATCTTCTCTTCTGTTAAATGAAGTCTGTGTACTGGGATATATACTGGGATATATTAATGCAGAGGTCTGAAGAGTCTTGACTCTTAAGAATACCTGTCCTGGTTTTGGAAGACCTGGTAATTAACTGGCTACTGATGATAATTATGTGGATGGACTTTTTTCATGTATGTTAATATTATTGAAAGCCAAATACAACTTTGAATAATTTTCCTAAGCAATTATGACTTACTAATGTAAGCGCCTTTGAATCTTTTACAAGTTGGTAGTGATCTGGTTTACTTGATCTCTAGCAGAGGATAAAATTATAATTTTTTCATTAAGATAGAAATAGTTTGAATTTTGTTGGTTGAGCCTTTTAAAACTCCTTCCTGAAATAATTAAAAAGTTATTCTTAGAAACTCGTTTTGACTGTTAGATGCTAAAAGTAGAAGTATTTAAAGAAGCTTCTTGACAAGTTTTGCCTACACTTGCTATGTGGGTATCCATGCCTGTTATTTTTGTCTCTTTTTTTTCCTTAGTACATTTATGTGCTGTTCTTTTGTAAATAGAGTGTAAAATAAACATGGCTTTTGCATTCGATTTTGTGTTTTTTAAAAAAAATTAATTTAGTTTAATTTATTTTTTATTATAACATAGTTGATCGTACATATCTGTGGGGTACAGAGTTGAATATCATTACCTGTGTGCAATATGTGATGCTCAAATCAGGATAATTAGTTTATTCAACATTATACAATATAATTGTTTTTTGTGTCCCTTTACCAATTTTGGTTGTGTTTTGTAGCAAATCAAATTCATGTTTTCTCACTACTTTATAAAATCTGACTTTTTTTTTGAGAGGGAGTTCTGTAGCTAGAGTTTCTTGGATAATACAAATGAAACACACATAAATTTGCAATAGGTATTTTGTCCATCTTTGCCCACATACTAATGTGGTGTGGAAATTTACATGTATCTCTAGACACCTTAGCCTGAGCAACAGCCAGGGAGCTTAGATAATCATTTCAATGCACTGCACACCCACCTGTTTTGCCAGGCACTCCACTTTCAGAAAAGCCCAGGTTGCTCTCAGTTTTCTTGTTGATGTGGCAGAAGGTTGGTTGCCTGGCCCCACCTCCAGTTCCAACCTCTTTCTCCCTGGCCATTTTCCAGTTAGGAGTGGCCATATGGCAGTCATCTGAGCTGTGGAACCAACACCAGCAAGAGCTATCTCCAGACTTCTTCTTTTTTTTTTTTTTTTTTTTAAAAGATGACCGGTAAGGGGATCTTAACCCTTGACTTGGTGTTGTCAGCACCACGCTCAGCCAGTGAGCGAACTGGCCATCCCCATATGGGATCCGAACCCGGGGCCTTGGTGTTATCAGCACCGCACTCTCCCGAGTGAGCCATGGGCCGGCCCTCCAGACTTCTTTTTACATGAGAGAAAGATACAGGAAAAAAATATGCCTTGTGGGTTTTCTGTTACTTGCAGCCAAAAGCATTTGGAATGATATGGCAAATATAGTAGTGTAGTTTTGATGCCTGTCTGTTGTTTCTTCTGTGGTTGTTTCTAATAGTTCTTATCCTGCTATCAGTAGTTTATTTGTTCTTGCTGTTGTACCTGCCCCTCCTCTATATTTCCCTACCCTGCCTTTTCTCATTATTCTAAAAGTTCATTTCCCCTGAAATAACTGCTTTTTATCCTCCAAGGTAGGCTTGCATTTTCAGTTTTCTAATTTCCTTGCTCAAAATATATATAAACAACCCCTCCCCAACAACCATCAGAAACTTTTGGATGGTACCATCTTCTGCCAAGTGAAGTGTATTCTTGACAAACTTCAAGTTGACTTTTTTGGAGGGCTTTTCTGTTCTACTTCAGAATGAATCTCCTGCCTTCCCAAAGCACATTTCAATAACAGGGATGCATTGGGATTGAGTGGACCTTGGGCTGCGCTCTGTTTAGAGGCATGACTCCTGGTGTCCTGGGCGATGTGGCCATGTGCCCTAAAATCCCCCTTCAGGTAACTTTCTGAGTGAGTGGCATAAGCGTAGGCTCCTGGTGACTTGTGTTTACTGTAGAGTTCCTGAGGGATGGGGATTCGGTTTAGACCTTCATTGTGAACCTATACATAAATTACCTAATACCTAAATTTTGATCAGAAAATTTATATTTGACTACTTTCTAAACTTCTTTATACTGTGAATGCTAAAACTATTTCTCTCACAAGCTATATAAATGCTTACTTTCCTGACTCTAAAACATTAACTCTCTCTCTTGTCCTCAAAGAGTCCCTTCTTCTTCCCCAGATGCGTTAAACTAGTTTGCGTTCTCCCTCCCAACTGGCTGTTAGTTAATCTCTACAAACTTAGGTGTGTGAGCAAGGACATTTGACAAAGCATTCTAATACTATTTTATTTTTGGAAAGTGAAAAAAATGGATTTTATAGACTGAATAATGTTAATGATGTTTAAAATCTCAACTAGGTGAGATATGCACATGGTAGCAGTGGTCTTCAAGGCAGGGAGGAAGACACAACTTCCTAGGACTATATATCAGGATCTGGAGGGGACCCCAGATTGAAAATGGTGCATTTGGGACTATTATGGGGAGGGGAATATCAAAAGGCCTTTTACAATGAGAATATATTTGTGCTTTAATTATGGAATTAAAAATTTCTGTCTTAGTCTATTCTGGCTGCAATAATAAAATACTATAGATCGGGTGGCTTATAAACAACAGAAATTTATTTTTCACAGTTTTGGAGGCTGGAAGTCCAGGATCGAGTCTCTGGCAGATTCAGTGTTTGGTGAGGGCTTTGTTCCTGGTTCATAGATGATACCTTCTTGCTGTGTCCTCACATAGTAGAAGGAGCTAGCTAGCTTTCTGGGTCTCTATTATTAGGGCACTAATCCCAGACACGAGGTCTCCACCATTGTATTAGTCCATTTCTGTTGCTTATAACAAAATACATAGAATTGGATAATTTGTAAGAAAACAAAATTTATTGCTTACAATTTCAGAGGCTGGAAAGTCCACAGTGCTGGGAATACATTTGGGTAGGGTCTTGGTGGGGGCGACAGTGACCCATGGGTTTCATATGGCAGAAAATGGTGGAGCAGAGAGAGATTAACCTCTCGTGTGCTCTTCTTTTAAAGCCCTCAGAACCACACCCCTGACCATTTATAATTCATTCACTATGGCATGGTCCTACAATCTAATCACCTCTTCAAAGCCTTTCAATTACCATAATAGGATTTCTCGCCCTCAACAGTTACAGTGGGAATTAAGTTGGGGGGAACATTCAACCCAAGGCAACCATCATGATATAATCACCTCCAAAGGCCCCACTTCCTAGTACTGTCACTTTGGGGAGGTTGGAGGGTAGGATGTCCACATGAATTTTGTAGAGACATGAGCATTCAGTCCACTGGGTTTGGGGAGAAATGGCCATTTACATGGAAGATAATTTAGATGGAAGCATGGGGAAAGAGCATTTAAAATAGGTTTTGCTGGATATGAAGCATACACTCTTCAGATTATGCCGGGGACCAGCCCCAGCACAGAGATTGTAAAGGTCCCCACTGGTAAGGGATCCCCCCAAAGGGAGGAAGGGCAGCGTCGGCGATGGAGCGGACAGCAAACATACAGACTCAAAGGATCTGTTGAATGCTGGGACAACAAACACACAGACTCAAGGGATCTGCTGAATGCTGACAATTTATTGAAGCAAGCATCAGACTTTTATACTTTTCTTTCTTATTTGCTACATAATCATAAAATAATCAATGAACAATATCATAATATCTCTTTGTAAGTGACATATGTTCTAAGAAAAATAGCATTACAGTTTATTCCCAGAAAAGACAATTACAATGTCCTTTCCTTTGAGCAAGAACGTTACAACCCACTGGTCCCATATAATCATCACTTTTCATCACTTGCAATTATTACCGAAACTACATCCATGGTACAATAGACTTTCTATGACGTTATTAAAACTTAATTCACACCTACATCTAACTATTCTTTATTCCTAAATAAACACTCTAAAAATTAACTTGCTTAACTAAACTTCTACTTCTATTGTAAAACAAAAGATTGTACATTAACTCCTTCCAAGCAGCCAGGCCAGACTCTCAGGCACCAGACAAGACGAATGCCTACATAGGTTCGTTGTCCCCTTCTGGGCCCCACTGCCATAAGCCATCTCCTGAAAATCCATAATCATAAGTATCATTAGTATGATTAAATATTTTAGTATAATTTTGAATCCTACTTCCAAGTCTCCCAGAGCGATAGTTATGAGGCAGCAAAGAATAAAATAACAAGCACACAGAACTCCAGAATATCAGGGTGGAACACCGGCATCTTCTCCCACGATGAGGCCTTGCCATCATCCCTTCACGATGAGGCCCTGTAAACACCATGTTTCATTAAAAGATCTTTATCAGACTTTAATCTTTTGGGTGGGAGGCGCCCCGATTAGAAAGGTTAAATATGCAATCGGATTTATTTATTTTAAATTGAGCCCTGCCCTCACCCCACCCCCAAGGGGAGTAAAGAATGAGATTTTTGTATCAGAAAAGGGCTATTGCAGGTTGGTTTCTCTGGGAAGATGCAGGAAGTCTCTATGGGTATGTTCTCAGGATCACACCCGTGCAAGGGAAGGGAGCAGGACTGGTCGAGGGAGCAGGACTGGTCGAGGGAGCAGCTGGGCTGTGACGCCTTCTCAACAAGGGCCTCCGCAGATGCCACTGGTGGCGCCAATGGCATTCGGAGTTGTCTCCCCTTGCTCTGAGGGTGCTGGGTCTTGACGCTTTCACATTGACCAAACACTGGGGGAAGGGGTATAACCTTGAGCAGGGCAGCCTTGAGCCAAGGGCAATTTCCAGAGAGCATTGTTAGGTCTGAGGATGAATCATGGTGATGCACCACAGTCCATTGGAGTGGTCTTGGCTTCCCACGGAGTGGCAGAGCCCACCGCATTACACGTGATAGCTTGCCTCAAGGCACAAGGCCTTCCACTGCAGTTAGCCTGAGGAGCACTAATTGCCTAGGATTCCCAGTCCTCGTTGTCTTGTCATCCTTCTATTGCAGGCCAGTTCTTGTACTTATCTGCTTGAAAATGTTTGCGGTTTTGTAACACTGGGGGTGGGGTGGGTTTGGAAAGCCTTTTTGTCTCTAAAGATCTGTTCCCTTTTGACTCCCCAGGTTTCTGTGCATATGGGCTTGCTTGTGGGCCACACCACAGCAATCCCTGTAGCAGCATGGGGAAAACAAGGGCATGGGTAACCTATAGCTGGTTGGTCACAGCTGTGTCCTTTTCATGGAAATCACTTGTGCTTACAAGGATTCAGTGCATTAAGCAGTTATAACAGTGTGGAAATGTATCAGGAGAACTGAGTTATCACTTCTCTGGGCTTCAAGCTCCCCCACTGTAGAAAGAGGGGGCCGAATGGAATGTGCTCTAAGGTCCAATGCACAACATTAACCATCTATGATTTACCTGCTGTAGATAAAAAGACATAATCATAGCTCAACTTGGTTGCCATTTCAGTTTCTGTACTCCATATCACACATTCTTACTCTTCTGAGATGTGGTCTCAGGCTGGACACAGAG